GGGCATTGCTGCCCCTTGCATGAAACTTGACCTGTTTCCTTTTATTATTGCTTCACCCCATGCCCTGTGGGTGCAGTGGTTAAGCATTTGGATGCTTATCAAAAGGCCAGCAGTTCGAATCCACCAGCTGCTCCTTGGAAACCCTATGAGGCAGTTTTACTCTGTCCTATAGGGTCACTGTGAGTCAGAATCCACTCAACTGCAATGGGTTTGGTTTTTTGGGGGGTTTTCACCCCCAGAATGTACACTAGTTAACATTCTGTAGAAGTGATATTAAGGATTAATGCCTGTAACACAGACAACGCAGAGAAAACTACAAAGCATGTAACTCTCTGGCCGAGGTCTAAGAGCAGGACTGTGGCGGGTGGACGGGGGCTCCTGGGGTGCTCGGAAAGGCCTAGTGGAGAGTGAGGACCAAGGTCCTTTTGCCCCCTCCTGTCCTGGTGGTCTCCGTGTGTCAGGCCTCCTCAAGCCTCCTCATGGTCCTCCTGAGCAGTCCCCACCTGGGACACCACGGAGTTGGGGACGACTTTGGGAAGTCCTCCTTCTGAGACCCAAGGGCTCCATCTACTGCTGAGGGTAGGGAGAAGAGAAGTGATGATGAATAGGCATGAACTGTGATTAACTTAAAAAATAAAAACTATAACCCTGTCATAAAAAATGCACAGTCCAGCTAAGAGTAGAGGCAACTTCCGTGTGTGACTCCCCACACCAATTTCTCAAGAAATAGCAGAGAAATAAAGTACGAAATGTGGCAGCCACAAGTCAAGTGCCCATCACCACCCCCCCACACCAAGCATGATGATGTTAGCAAGCTGAGGGACAATAGTGTCAGGAAGGGAAGGGAGGGGAAGGAAGACCAAGAGATCACACACTGGGTGGGGGTGGGAGGAAGTCACTGCTGTGTAAGGTGTCCAGATCAATGCCAAGGAAGGGCAAGGCATGGGGAGAGGAATGGAGGGGGTGGGGGCTTTCAGACAAAGGCTCTCCTAAAACAGAGAACGCTCACTGTCCCTGTCACTGGGGAGTGGAGTAGCACAATCTGCCCCCTGGGAGCTGGAGGAGCCATTAGGCCCCAGAGTCCCCTCCCCACTCCCATGCATGCATCAGGCCCCTCTTCTACCCAGGAGGACTCTGCAGAGGTGATGGCAGAGACTTGAGGAGGGGGACAAATACCACTTGCACAGCAGCTTGTGGAAGAAAATGTCCAGCTCTGGGGATGGAGAGAAGGCAGAGGTTTCAGAGCGAAGGGAGTTCAGAGCCCTTCCCCCTCAGGTGAGCAGCCCCAGAGCAGCCACCAGCCCCACCTGCTCAGGGCTGTACCTTGACCAGTCCACAGCTGCCCAGGAGACAAGTCCAGAAACCTGACGTCAGGAGAAGACCACCTCTGGTGGTTTGCTTGGAAGGAAAGAGAAGAAGAGAAGGTAGAAGCTGACGTCGACTTGGGGAGGGCCTGACAGGGACCTCAGCCACCCTGGACTGAGTGTTCCAGCTCTGAGCCACCCTCCTGGGAAACCCCATAGATCTTGTCTCCACTGTCTCCATGGAGCGAGGAAGTAAGAAGGCCAGAGCACACCTGGAGCCTTTCCATTCTTTCACTACAAAGCTTTCCCAATCCCTGCTGGCCTTGGAGTCTCTGCCAAATGCAAGCAATGGTGGCTGATGCCCTTGCTATAGCAAGCTTTGAATAAATAGCTTCTGTTTGTTCTCATTTGGATTGTCATTGCATATTTCTACAGACCCATCTCCCCTCCCCCACAGACAAGTTAGAAAAGATGGAGAAGGGAAGAGAGTGAAGAAGTTCCCCAGAGGAAACACACCTGAGCAGTTTTGTCCAGGTGGAGGCAAAGTGGCTGGTTGACAGCAAGGGCTGACCAGCCTCTGTTGTATTCTCCCAGGTGAATTCTGGAGGCCTTTAAAGCTTAAGTTCCTCGGTTGTTTTGGAGGCAATGATGTTGAAGGCCATCGTGGTGCCAGGCATCCTCTTCAGCTGAACCCCATTGAGAGACCACCCAGGGAGTTTTCATGCCTCTGCCCTCCACTATATGAAGTCCTCCTGGCCCCAGTTGCCAGCCATGCACAGCAGCAGGCACTGGGGGCTGATCTTCATCCTCACGTGAAGTTTAGGGACCATGGCTCGGCCTCTGGAGGTTTCACCATCAGTCCTTACATTCAAGTTCATTCAGGTTCCTTCTGGCACAGCTGAAGACAGATTTCTTCTTATTATCTTGAAGAACCTTCCAGTGCCCCCCTGCGAGCCCTGGGTCATTCCAGAGGGAGAGATTGGGGTCACACCATAGGGAAAATTCTGCTGGTCACACACCTGTCAAGGTGCCCAGCATGCATGCAGTTTCTGTTGGACACATCCTGGGGGAAACTGGTTCTGCCTGGGGCTCCCTCCACCGGTGCGGTGATATGGTGGGCTAAGGAGGAAGCCATAGAGACATGCTGGACTTTTGGGCTGGGATCTGCACCTTACAGATACTCTTTGTGGGGCACAATCCAGAGGCCTGGGAGGGCTACGCTGGGGCCAAATTGGATTCCTGGTGCAGGAAAAGCAGAGATGGGGAGACTGAGGCAGAAACCCTGGAGGTCCTGGACTCTCTCACAGCTTGTATTTGCTATGCTGGATGGAGGTCTAGCCAAAGCTGGCCTCCAAATAAGGACATTCTTGCTTTGATTTGTGCTAGTTGAGAAGTCTTGCCATTCACAGGGCTGGTCTTCTCCTCCTCCAGGCTATATAGGGAGCTAGTGGTTTGAGCTCTGGTCCATCAGTAATTCCCAGATCTCTTCCGTGTGTAACCCGTGGACACCATCTACTCAGTTTGCCAGGGTCCTTGTAGTCAGTGAGCACCTCCATGTAAGCCTTTAGTTCATAATCTTTATGGCCCACATTCATCCATGGAACTTTCATGATTTGCTTTGAAGTGCCTCTCTTACTGGGATTGAGGATGAGACATTTCTTGAGCAGATTTTCACACTTCATGAACATATATAAGGGAACATGATACTTTCCATTCAGCATCTGCTCCTGCAGCTACTTGAAGTTCCGTCCATCAAAAGACAGGCATCTGCTGACAAGTGTATATACAATGACTCCCATGCTCCACATATCCAGTGTGCTTTCATTGTACTTTTTGCCCTGGAAGAGTTCTGGGGCATAATGATGAGGACTGCTACAAAAGGTATCCAGCTTTTTGCCAAAGGTGAATTCCTTGCTGAGGACAACATCTACAATCTTGATGTCACAACAGCATCCAAGAGCAGGTTTTCTGCTTTTAACTCTTTATGCTCACTAAAATTCTGGTGACAATACTGCACAGCAGACACTGGCAGAATTTAGCTTGGGTCACTGTTTCTTTCACATTTCCAAGAGCCACTAGGTAATCAAGCACTGGCCCCCATTATGTATTCCACATAAAAAGAAGAGTTTTCTCATTCTTGATCTGTTCAAATACCTGTGTTAGGACGATACGAAGTCTTCATTATTCTTACTTCATGGGAGAGTTTCCAAAGGCAGGAGGAGTTCTGTTTAGTCTTGATCCTGATGCTCAGGCAAGCTTGGATCAGGCTGGTCTGTGCTATAGTCTCTAACCTCAGGGCCGCTACCAATGGGTAAATTTTAATGAAAGTAAACAAAAGTTTTGAGATGAACCCTAATACTGGGTCAAGCTTGAATTCTGACTGATCCTACACTCTATCCCCAGGGTCCCTATAAAGGAATCTGCTGGGGCAGATTCTGACCCTGCACCAGGCTTAGATTTTGTCCAGCCTGAGATACAACCACTAGACTCAGAGCTACTTCCAAATACTGAAACAAGAGATAAGACTGGAGGTTGGAATGATTCCTAAGAGAATGGACAAAACAAGGGGAAAGACAAAGGGAAGAGAATGGAATTCATCCCAACAGAGTGGAGATCTTTAACCAGTTATTAAGAAATGGGAGGAATAAAATGAGTATCGATGGGGTCAAACAAGTTTTTCTTCGTGCAGCACCCTCACAGGTTGGGCAGTTGTTACTCAACAGTGAAGGATCCTAAACAAATCTGCATTATTCTCCTTAGTGAGGAGGGATTTAGAAAGGTGCAGGACAAATACGACAATGAGAAACCTGACTTCCTATTGCCTGGGGTGATACTCCCAAATCTTATTTTGTGAATTCCTATCACTAGCTTCTTGAGGAACCATATTAAAATAGATTGTGAGAGGCTACGTTATGATTGGTCTCATTGGTTTAGAATATAGCTAGTCCCTGACTTAGCATTAGAGTGACAATGAACTGCACTTATGATCATCCTTTTTTTGTACATCTTATTGTTAGTAATTTGTATGACATACAGTGTTGCAGCATGTAATGTGCTGATATTATTATTCTCAGATGTTCACTTGCAGGTGTTCGATATTATGATTTACTGATCAAAACACTGCCTGGTCTACAATGAAATCTGTGTCAGTGTGGGTGTAGGGAGTCATACCAGATAGAATGTTGGGCAATGTTCAACTCTAATGAATTACACTAGACAGTCATTAGGAGTCTGACTTCATTGTTCCGACACTGACGCTGACAAATAAAGATCGTATTATAAAGACACTGATAATAAAAGGCAATAATAATGAAAACTAAAAAAAAAAAAAATGGTATTCCACTTACATCAGAACCGACTTACGATGGAGTCATCGGAACGTAACCTTGTCTTAAGTCGTGGAGCACCTGTATTGTGAAATGGAGGAGAATGTTTTGGTTGACACAGGACCCATAGCTCACTCTTGAACAATCATAAAAAAATAAAAGGCCAAACCAGTTGCTGTTGAGTCGATTCTGACTCAGAAAAAGAAAAGAAAAAACCAAACCTATTGCTGACTCATAGCAACCCTACAATACAGAGTAGAACTGTCCCAAAGAGTTTCCAAGGAGCACCTGGTGTATTCAAACTGCCGACCTTTTGGTTAGCAGCTGAGCACTTAACCACTGTGCCATCAGGGCTCCTAAACAATCATAGATGGTATTAAAGAATGCAAACACAGTACCCTGATCCCGAGGGGCAGCAAGCCTAATAGATGGGATAAAGGCCACACTAAACTTTAAGGAGCCACCTGGTTAAACGTTCGGCTGCTAACTGAAAGGCTGGTGGATCAAACCCATCCAGAGGCTGGTGTAGGGGGAAGACCTGGTAATCTGCTCCCTTAAAGATTATTGTTGCTGTTCGGTGCCATCGAGTCGGTTCCGACTCATAGTGACCTCACATATAACAGAACGAAGCAGTGCCCGGTCCTGTGCCATCCTCACAATAATTGCTATGTTTGAGCCCATTGTTGCATCCACTAGGTCAGTCTACCTCGTTGAGTGTCTTCCTCTTTTTTCCTGACCTTCTACTTTACAAAGCAAGATATCCTTCTCCAGGAACTGGTCCCTCCTGATAACATGTCCAAAGTACATGAGACCAAGTCTCGCCAACTTAGCTTCTAAAGAGCATTCTGGCTGTGCTTCTTCCAAGACAGATTTGTTTGTTCTTCTGACAATCCATGATATATTCAATATTCTTCACCAACACTATTTATTCAAAAACATCAATTCTTTGGTCTTCCTTATTCATTGTCCAGCTTTCACGTGCTTATGGGGTGATTGAAAATACCATAGCTTTCACCAGGTGCACTTTAGTCTGCAAAGTGACATCATTGCTTACAGTCTAGGAAACATGAAGAGCTCGGTTGCTAACCAAAAGATCGCCAGTTTGAATCCACCAGCCGCTCCATGGAAACCCTGTGGGGTCATTCTACACTGTCCTATAGGGTCACTATGAATGGGAATCAACTCAACAGCATGGAGTTTTTGTTTTTTCTTTAAATGTCATATAGCTTCGCTGTGAGTCGGAATAGGCTCCAGGGCACACAAAAACAATCACCTCATGGTAGGAGGAAAACATCTCACCTTCCAATATATGTGATCTACACACTCTGCTCTTTTACTTAAATTATTTGAAACGTTAACAAAAGCAGCACTGGTCCTCAGTACCCCCAAAGACTTTGAAACGGTTCAAAAGGAGGAGAATCAAGTTCTGCTGGAAGGAAAGAAGCCTGAGAGCCCAGGTGGAGGGATGGAGAGACGGGGAATCTCAGGCCCACCCTCCCCTCTCCATAGTCTGCTCCTGGCCATCCGGGGCCCCACCCCGCCCATCCCCCTGCACGACCCCGCCCCCTGCACGACTCCGCCCTGTTTCCCTCCCCTCCCCGCCCCACCCTGCCCCCTGCAAAGCCCGGCCCCTTTCGCCATTGTCTGTCGACACCAAAAGGCTTTCTCCCAGCGAGGATCCCACAAAGGTGAGTGGGTGTCGTCTTTGTAGTTCAATCCGGCGCTTCGCTCGCCTTTAGCCCCGCGTCCTCCCCGTTCGGGATCTGGGGCCCCTGCGGACATTCAACTCCCGGCACTCGGCCCGTCATCGTCCCGGATCCGCGTCGGTTTCCGGTTAAAGCAGCTCGGAGCGGTCCGTCCGGCCTTCCCGCCTCTGTCCTGGGTAGCCCCGCGTCCCCATTCCTGTCGGAGCCCGCCGCCGACCCATCCCCGCCTCGCGCCCTGAAAGGCTTCTTGGGGCCTTGTTGCCCGCGTCCCCTGCCCGGTCTCCTGGGCTCGCAGGGCGGTGCCGGCTGCGCCCCATGGCCCCAGGACGCGAGTCAGAGAGTTTACTTCATTCTGTCAGTTTCAGTCAGATAATCTGTTTCTTCGTTTCTTGCCTGAAGCTTATCATTTCTTTAAAGTTCTATTGATATTTAATTGTTTTTTAATATGAAATTTTGGTTTCCTTTTTCCCTTTCTAGGTTTGAACAACCGGCTTATTTATTTAAAACCCTACCCCTCCCCTCCCCCGTTTTTTGGAAGGCCCCTGGGTCGCCCAAACGGTGTGCGCAGGTGTACTAACCTGCAGTGGTTAAGGGCTGTGGCTGCTAACCAAAATGTCGACAGTTGGAGTCCGCTGGGCGCTACTTGGAAACCCTACGGAGCAGTTCTACTCTGTCCTGTAGGGTCTGTATGAGTCAGAATCGACTCGATGGCAACGGTGTTTTGTTTGTTTTTTGCTAACCTTGAAAAAGATGGTTTAAATCCACCCCGTGGCACTTCGAAAGAGAAGCCTGTGCTTTTGTAAAGATTATAGCCAAGAAAACCCTATGGAGCAGTTGCTCTGTGCTGTAACACTTGGGGTTGTCAGCAATCCAGTCAACGTAGGGAAATGGATTTTTTTTTTTCTTTCTTCCTTGGTTTTTTAATATCATGTTTGTAAAGATACATTTATTTCAAGATCACTGCTTTGACCACATTCCTTGGTTTTGAAGTACTTTGATTCTTCATGGTGATAGTGACTCTAAATTAGTTGCTTGCCAGTTGTCACATAGGTTATAGAAACTTTTCCTGTAATCAGATTCTAAGTATATGAACTATCTTTTGCATTTTGATTTGTTTAGTTTTGCTTCCATTATCTGATTTTTGTTTACTTTCATTTTGATGTCACTGCAAGAACTGTGGCCTACCTAATATCTCTCTTATTTTATTTTTTGAGATTGTTTCACAGCTTTATTTCTAGTTGAAGACAACACAATATTCACTAGTAGGAGAACTGTTAAATACAGTAAGATACCATCTTATTTGGAATTAGCTGGCATTTTCTTGTATGACTCAGTACATGATCATGTTTGATGAATGTTCAAGCAGTGTATACAAGTGTCTTTGATAAAGGTTTAATTTCTATTCACTAATTTGTTGTTGTTAGGTGCCCTGGAGTCGATTGTGACTGGTGGTGATACCATACGACAGGGTAGAATTGCCCCATATGGTTTTCTAGGCAGTAATCTTAATGGGAGCAGATCACCAGGTCTTGGGTTTGAACCACCAACCCTTCCTTTAGCAGCTGTGGATTTAACCCTGGGCCACCAGGGTTCCTTATTGCACCACCAGGGCTCCTTATTCACTAATTTACATATACTAAATCCTCAGCATGCTTATATTTTATTTCGTTATAGACATGGTGATTTCAGCGGGAATTGTTTTTAGTTTTCCTTTCAAGCTTCATGATTAATCAATTTTTCTTTGAATTTGAATGTTTCTATTTAGTCATGTTTCCAACATACATTTTTATGTACACACGTAGATATGAATACCCTATCTTGATGTTTAATTTTCCCTTTTGTTAGTTGCCATCAAGTTAATTCCATCTTATGGCAACTTCATGTGATATAGAGTAGAACTGCTCCATGGGGTTTCCAAGGAGCGCCTGGTGAATTCGAACTGCTGACCTTTTGGTTAGTAGCTGAACTCTTAACCGCTAGCCTTTTAAATCAGCCAATAGTTGCTAAGCTCACAAAATAAAGTTTACTCCTCCCCTTGTACACTATTAAAGGCTGAGCCCAGATCTGTTTGCACTCTGTGATTCTCCCTTTCATCAGGACTCCTGTGAATCTGTGTTTGGCCTTCAAGTATGCTTACCTTTAGGCTCTGTGAATGACAAACAGTTCTCTTTTGTTTTGGGTATTGAATGTTAAACTGCAGCTTTGTGTAACAAAAGAAACCCCCACCTAATTTCCACACAGGTGGGTCCCTCCAGGTGAGCCCTCTGGGTGGCTGTGTGTTTCCTCCTGCAGTGGGCTCTCATTTACCTCTTCATATTTGTCTAATATTAACACAAGCCTCAGCTGTCTAATCACACGGTGGGTCTTTCTGGCATGACCAGCTTCCACTCTGTGTCACCTCTTAGTCTAAACTATCAGGTGAGGACCAAGGGGCCCACCACAAATCACAAAGGCAATCCTGTCACTCTGGAAATTCCAGTGGTTTAGAGGTTACCTCCCAGGAGCCAGGACAAAGGCCAGAACTCTTTTTGGGATTGTTGTTAGTTGCCACTGAGTGCATTCTGCCTCATGGTGACCCCATGTGTGCAGAGTAGAACTGCTCCATAGGGTTTTCAAGGCTGTGACCTTTCATAAGCAGATCACCAGGCCTGTCTTCTGTGGCACCTCTGGGTGGATTCGAACCAACAACCTTTTGGCTAGTAGCTGAGCATTTACTCGTTTGTGCCACCCAGCTGCCACAGAGCTCTCTTTAGGTGAGATGTGATTCTTTACTACAGAAGTAGAATCTAAATATGTCCATCGTACTAAAATACTAAAAAACATGAAAAGATAGTTAAAATCCGGCCAGGAAATCTGTTGTTTAGAGACAACTGCTCTCAATTTGGTTAACTATACTAGGTGTGTACCTTAGGTTTCTATAAAAGACATTTGATCATTTCATGAATTAGTTTTACTTGTTTTTCCCCAGGCCTTAAACATTTTTACACTATCATGTTAATAAGGAGCCCTGGTGGTGGGATGGTTAAGAGCTCCGCTACTAACCAAAAAGTTGGCAGTCTAACCCACCTTGCTGCTCTGGGAGAAAGACCTGGCAGTCGGCTTCCCTAGAAACTAAAGTATAGAAAACCTTATGGGGCGGTTCTGCTGTGTCATATGGGGTCGCTAGGAGTCAGAATCAACCTGACTGCACCTTACAATAACATCATCACGTTAATAGTAGTAAAAATGGTAACTAATTATGTATATGCATATGTGTGTGCTTATATAATGATCTTTTAACTAATTCTTTGTTGGTTTTTAACTTGTTTCAAGTTCTCTCAGTTAGGAAACCCTCTGCCAGTGTCCTTTCTGTGGTGTCTGTTTTACTTGCCTTTTTGATTCCTTGAGTTCAGTTCTAGAACCCAATCACCTGCATTCTGCCATTTATTAAGATGTTTGACCCAAGGCAAGTTAGAATCTGTGACGTAGTTTTGTTTCTCTTTCAGGTGAGAACAGAACCTTTCTGTTATGATCACAAGGTTCGATCCTAACCTTTCTTTAAAGCCATCTTATTGACTTTGTCATCCATCATGAGATGGATTGTTTCTCTGGTTCATCTGAAAAATTATACATTCCTTGGTGGATATAACATAATATTTATCACTTGGTTAAAGAAAACCACTTGTTGAATTGCTTTTTCATTTGTATATTTCTTTTATCATCCACAGAAATATAAAATTTGCAGTGAATCTTGTATCCTCCGTACCCCTTAAGCAGTAACTCCCCACTCTCTCCTCCTCTGAGTCCCTGGTAGTAGCTAATAAACTTTTGTCCTTATACTTTTAATCATAGATTAAAATTAGGGATGTATAACTTGCTGAAAATTATCTTACATGGACTCAACCATAGGCTTACCTCAATTAAAACTTATTCATATGCCTCTTGCCTCCCCTCATATTGTGTGCAAATATCAACACTAACCCCCACCACCAGCACCACCACACTGTGGACCCTTGGAGAAACGTGTGTTTTATGTTAGCTACTATTGATATATAAGGATTCGTCCGCAGAAGGAGTGAGTGTGCTTGTCTCCTGCTCAGAGGCCTTTGTAAAGGGGCATAATGTTGATGAACTACAGGAACCTGGTCTGCCTGGGTGAGGTGGAAGTCAGGACCTGCCCCGGGATGGCTTTGCATTTTCCACTGTGAGTCTCTTGACAGCCCCTGCCTTTCTAGACTGAATTTTCCTTCCTGTCTTTATGGGAATCGTTGAGGCTTTGTTGATCCAGAACTGAAGAGCTTCATAGTGTGGCATCTGGACTTTGACCTTCCCCTTTCTTCAAATGATGTGCTCTGAGTTGATGGTGGTTCTTGAACTTGAGTGTGCATAAAACCTGTGGCCAGCATTCCAAACATCCAGTGTCCTGGTTACTCCCCTGTGCTTTTGATTTAGTAGCTCATAGAAGAATGCTTAGAGGTCTGCACCTTTAAAATGATTCCTACACGTTTAAAAGGAAGAGGGCAGTGGCTCCATTAAAAAAAGAAAAATATTGTAGTAAAATATATATAAGTAAATTTTTGCCATTTTCACCATTTTTAAGTGTACAGTTCAGTGACGTTAAATACATTAACGATGTTATGCAACCAACTCCACCATGTAATTCCAAAACTTTTTCATCATGTCAAACAGGAACTCAGCACCCCTTAAGCAGTAACTCCCAATTCCCTCCTCTCTGAGTCCCTGGTAGCCATTAACAGACTTCGGTTTCTATGCTTTTGCCTCTTCTACTTATTTCATGTAAGTTACATCGTATGAGATTTGCCCTGTTGTGTCTCACTGATTTCACTTAGTGTAATGTTTTCAGGGTTTATCCATGTTGAAGCATGAACAAAATTTCTCTTTTGTGTGATGTATTTTTTTTATTATCCATTCATCTGTTGACGGACACTTGAGTTGTTACCACCTTCTGGCTGTTGTGAACAAGGTTGTAATGAACATTGGTATACAGGTATCTTTTTGAATCCCTGGTTTCACATCCTTTGATTGGGTTCAAACTGCCAATTTAGAAGTGGAATGTCTGGGTCATATGGTAATTCAATGTTTAACTTTTTGAGGAGCTGCCAAACTATTTTCCACAGTGGCTGTGCTATTTTACATTCTCATCCACAGTGTGTGACGATTCCAGTTTCTCTACATCCTCACCAACTCTTGTTCTTTTCCAGTTTCTGATGTAGCCTCCTAGTGGGTGTGAAGTGGTATCCCATGTGGTTTTGATTTTCATTTCTTTAGTGCCTAGATGACCCTGAGCATCTTTTCATATGCTTGTTGGGCGTTTGGTTATCTTCTTTGGAGAAATGTCCATTTAAGTCCCTTGACCATTTTTTACAAAAATTTGGAAATAAATCGCCTGGCCTTTCTTCCTAGTTTGTCTTAGACTGGAAGCTCCCCTGAAACCTGTGTAGCATCACAGCAACATGCAAGTCCCCACTGACAGACTGGTGGTGGTTGTGCGTGAGGTGTATTGGTCTAGAATTGAAGCCGTGTTTTCTGTGTGAGGGGCGTGAATTCTACCTCTGAACAATCAATGTGCCCGTTTTCCATCATACTGCCGCTGCCATGGAGTCAATTCCAAATCATAGCGACCCTATATGACAGAGTAGAACTGCCCCACAGGGTTTCCAAGTCTGTAGATCTTTATGGAAGCAAACTGCCACATCTTTCTCCCGTGGAGCGGCTGCTGGGTGGGAACAAATGTCTTTTTGATTAGCAGCCAGGCACTTTAACCATTGCACAATCGGGCTCCTCCATTATAATAATGGTGGCTGTTTGGCACACAACTTAGCAATAACACAGACAAAGTCATTGGGTCTCATCCTTTCCAGTGTAAACAATGCAAACCTGAGAAGGAGAAAATAGACTTTGCCCTCATCCTTCAGTCTTACTCTTTCTCATACAGCAGCCAGCTGCGACAGTGAGAATGCAGGGGTTTGGTGATGGAGGCAGAGCAGGCAGGAGGGAGGAGCTTGGGCCACTGATTACTTCACAGAGCACCTGTCACATCCTGCACTGTAATCTCTGGACTTCTTGTTATAGGAGGAGATAAAATGATAAAAGTCATACTTGTTTTGGTTTTCTGGGGCCACTGGGGTGGCACCTACCTTAAGTGATACGCCTTGCACAGGCCGGAGGCTGGGAGAGGCAAGCAGTTCCTGGCTGGACTACTGAAGCCAGCAGAGGGGTGGGGGGTGTGGACAGGGCATCCGTGATAGAATATTCCTTCCTTCAGTTACAGGCTCCAGAGCAGTGAGTGTTTGGATGTGGATACCCCAGGGTAAATTGTGAAAATGCAGATTTTTATCTTGGTTTGGGCTTGAGATTCTCTGTATCAAACAAGCTTCCAGTTTATGCTGAAAATAACTGTTATAGAAATAGGATATGAGTTAAAACCAGAGAATGCTGTTAGAGAAATTAATAACAGGATGGATAATGCTTAAAAAGCAGCCACTGGTATACAGATCACGTGAGAGAGAAAACATCTACACAGAGACCAAGAAGTAAAACAGTAGGTGTCAGCTGGGTGGGGTGGAGGGGAGGAAAGAAACAGGAACAGACATGGGGGCTGCTCCTTAGAGAAAACGGAATGATTTTCTGATTTGTTGGTTGTTCGATTATTGTCAGGTTGAAAGAGAATGTTTCCAGATTTCTGGAAAGACTAGTGGTGTCATGTATAGAGAGTGAAGGAAAAAAAAAACAACTAAAAACCTCAACAGGAAGAAAGAATTGTTATTTACAAAATCAACAGGAAAAATACTGATCACATATTACCATGGTATAAGTGAAATCAGAGTTTAAAAAAAATAAAGCACAACGAAAGAATTTCAGCTGCACATAATTACAAATTAGTGACGCATGATGAGTTCATTGACTTCAAGTTAATATATTCTCATGAAAATTCACTAATGTTTATATCAAATAAAAGTGTTTAGGTTCTACAAAGGTGAACCCTTAACTTCATAGGTGAACCCTCAACCTAAGCTTTGGACTTCTGACACCATGGAGGAAGCTAGGTTCACGTGTTCCAGCCTGGGCAGGCCTGGATGCCTCTTCTGCTCTGGGATGAGGAAGCCCCTCCTTCTGTGACATTGTGGCCAGAGGAAAAGGCCTGTGGAGCTGAAAAATGCATGTGTGTGCTCTGGAAGGCTGGAGCAGGATCCACCTTAAGTGCAGACGCCCTCGGAGTGGAGCATGGCCTTCAGCCTTGGGGGAAAGCCCTGTCCAGGGAAAGAGCTGAAGACCAAGAACCTGTCACTTCCTCCTTACCAGTGTCTCCTCCTTCCATTGCAGGTCCCAGGTGTGGCTCGGAGAGTTAGTTCAGCCTCGGCAGCTGGGGACGGAGGGCAACCTTGCACATCCATGTACATCACAAGTAAGGATTTTAACTGCTCTGGTGTGTGGACCAAACATCATTCATCTGCCTGCAAACTGCCTACTGGTTCTGCTTCCCCTGCCATCCCTCTTCCTGAAATGGCTTCTTGGGCTTAGAGAACACATACAGTTAGACTTCCAGAAGCTGAAGCCAGGAAATGGTGCGTACTACAGAGAACTGGGATACTGTTAATCTAAGGGGTGAGGCTGGATATGAGTTATTGGGGTAGTGTGTGCTCCAGGCCTTGAGGTTCCTCAGTGAGGTAAATAGGTGGCAAAGGAGACCATGGAACTGAGCCCTAAGAGGCATCTTGGTACCCTGCTCCACTGTCACTGTGCCCTTGCTCTAGTCACATGGAGTTTTAAGCATTGGAAGTCTGGGGCCACCTTCCTTCTGTGACTCTAATGCATCATGGGGCATTAACATCCTCGTCCTGGGCCTTGGTTCTCTGTGTTGAATGACAGAACCTCCTGACCAGAGTCTGAAGATGGAGCAGCTCTGGCTGAGGAGACCAAGCCTGATATCCTCCAGAGCCATCCTTGTCCCATCCCTGCACACAGTTTTCTTGGCTTCCCCGAGGCACTGGAGCCTTTTCTGTGCAGTTCTAGAACTACAGCTCCACCTCTCACGCTGTGTGAAGTGTTGGAAAACTGGGGAGAGAGTTGCTAGCGAAAGGCCCTGACTGTTAATGGGGACCTGGGTGGAACTTGGTCCTCTCCTGAACTCACCAGTGAAATGAGTCAAAAGGACAGTGAGTCCAGCTGGATCATGTGTGGGGTCTCCAGATCCATTCTTCTTGGAGGGATGCTCTTTCTTTGAGGCTTTCTGCTGTTGGGAAGCATGTTTCCCCAGTTTGTGTCTTTGTCCTCCCACCTATCTCTGCCTAGAGATGGTAGTGAGTCCCTGTAATTTTCACTTGCTCTCCACAGTCTCGGATAACCAAAACCAAACCCGTTGCCATTGATTCCAACTCATAGCAAGCGACCCTATAGGACAGAGTAGAACTGTTCCATATGGTTTCCAGGAAGCGCCTGGTGGATTTGATCTACCAGCCTTTGGTTAGCAACCACCATACCTCTTTTAACCACTACGCCACCAGGTTTTCCACTGTCTTGAATGGGAAATTAAAATAAAAGTGTTCTGTTTTGCTAGAAAAGCTCAGCATATGAGATGGTGTATTTTTCATTTCTTGGGTTTACAGTTTCCAGTGGAAGAAAATTTCTAGATCAGTTTATCTTTCTACTGAGAATGTTTCAATTTAATGGATATAAACGTCTCAAGCACTGAAAAATCCCTATTTTAACTGGTGTAAGAGTAAAAATTCAAAAGTAAAACACGTTGTTTCTCCTACTTTGTTACACAAAAGATAGCTTGGAATTTATACATTGCCCTGAAGTTTTTATAACAATAGATAGGGAGCTTAAATCTAATTTCTTGTAAAACTCCTTAATACTGTATATGGTAAATTTTTGTTTATTGTTTGACTTTACTGCCAGGAGTGGACACTTGATTGTGTCCAGTATTTTACTCTGACAAAGCTTGCTGTAGTGAGTATAAATGTAAATTTCCAAGATCCAGGTATCAAATGTGGAGACATACAAGCCCTTCTGAACTAAGACAGGTTAAATCAAAATGAAGGAGTTTTCACATGACTTTGTAAAATTATTATGTGAAAAGTGTATTTTTTTCCTGTTTTAAGCCATTGCTTTAAGCTTTTATTGTCAACTGTGTCATAAACTAGGACTGCATACACTGTTTGTTGTGTAGTTTAAGAATCTAAATCCCTGATAATAAATAGACCTTGTCATTTTTATGGCCTCCCAATGTGTCCCACGCCGATGTCATCTACCTCCTGCTTGGAGATGATTGCTATCTGCATTTGAGAAGTTTATTATTATAATTATTATTTCTATTATTATAGCTTTGATGCCCAAGTCTTTTTTTTAATAACATTTTATTGTTTTTTTCAGTGAAGATTTACATAGCATTTTAGGTTCCCATTGACCAATTTCTATGCAAATTGGTAACATTCGTCACAGTTCGTGAACATTCTCAATATTTCTGTTCTGGTTGTTCTCTCTGCATCAGTCTAGTTTCCCTGCCCCCTTACATTCTTATTTTTGCTATCAAAAAATTGTTGACCTTTGAATCTCATAGAGCTGATTTTTTAATGGAGCACAGTACTCATAGGTAATCCTCTTTATTTTGTGAGCCAATATGTTATGTAGCTAAAGGGGGACCTTGGTCTGGTTTCAGGGTTGAAAGAGCGTCTCAGGGCAGCATCCTTGGGGAATTCTCCAGTAAGTCTGTTTTGTTTTTGTTGTTTAGGGTTTTTTTGTTTTAAGAATTTGAGATTCCGTTTCACATTTTTCTCCTGTCAGGGTCCATCTACTGTAACCCTGATCAGAATGGTTGGTAGTGGTAGCTAGGTACATCTCATCTAGTTCTTCTGGTCTCAGGGTACATGAGGCTATGGTTCATGTAGCCTGTCCTATAGACTAATTTCTTCTTTGAGTCTTTGGTTTCCTTCTTTCTCTTTTGCTGTAGAGGGGTAGAGAACAATAGTTGTATCTTAGATGGCAGCTCACAAGCTTTTAAGACCCCAGTTACTTCTCACCAAACTAGAATGTAGAACATAAACTTTGTGAACTATATTATGCCAGTTGACCAAGATGTCCCACAACACTATGGTCCTAATCCTTCAAACCCAGGAAACCAATCTCTTGGAGTGTTTAGTTACATCTAACGAAGTATCGCTAAATGTGACACCCAAGTCTGAATCCATAATGTCTGTGTTGTTCAGTTTTACCTCTTTTGAGCTTTCTGTAAATTTAATTATACCTGTGTCTGGGTTCTTCTGTGACTTGTTTTCCTGAGAATGCTTTTGAGTTTAATACATACTGGTGTCTGTAGGTCTAGTCTACCCATCTTGCTTTGTATGCAAGCTACCATTGTATGAATGGGCCGAAATTTACCTATGCACTGTAGAGCTTACAAGACTTGTGTGGTTCAAGTGTAACTCTTGCTCTTGTGAATGTTGCTGCTCTTATTCTCTTCATTCTCTTTGCAAACTCTTAAGTGCTCTTGCACAATCGTTCTCTAGTGAGGAGAAATTTCTGTGTTGCACATCATAGCCAAGTTCAGATTTACTAAGAGTCGATGTATTTTACAAATCTTCCCTCCCACAAAATATGCATATATGTATTGTTTTTTCCATCGGCTTATTGGAGTCCTGATGGCGCAGTGGTTAAGAGCTCTACCGGTAACCAACACGCTGGCAGTTCAAATCTACCAGCCGCTCTTTGAAAACCATATGTGGCAGTTCTACTCTGTCCTGTAGGGTTGCAGTGAGTCAGAATCGAATCAACAGCAATGGGTTTTTTTTGTTTCTTTTACCTAATGAAGTAATGTTTGGTCTTATAATCAGTGTATAAAATGATATCTTACTTTGATTTTATTGTTCAAGTACCTTACACTACTTCACTAACTGAAAAGACTGTGCGTATTTCCCACTGTCAACTTCTATCTCTATGACTTTTTAGGATGATGCAGTGGTTAAGAGTTCTGCTAACCAGAAGGTCAGCAGTTCGCATCCACCAGCCACTCCTTGGAGTCCTGATGGCGCAGTGGTTAAGAGCTGTACCGGTAACCAACACGCTGGCAGTTCAAATCTACCAGCTGCTCTTTGAAAACCATATGTGGCAGTTCTGCTCTGTCCTATAGGGTTGCTTTGAGTCAGAATCAACTCAATGGCAACAGATTGTTTTTTTTTTTTTTTTTAAACCTTGGAAAATTTCCCCCTAGTATGTAACTTATCTTCTCACTCATTTTTACTGTCCTTTGATGAATTGCTGTGAATTTGAATATAGTTTTATTTGTCAGTCTTTTCCCTTATGTCTCGATCTTCTTATTTAAGATATTTTCTCTATTCTGATGTCATAAGATCAGTTGCTTATAACTTCTGAAAGTGTTGTAATTTTACATTCTCATATTTAAAGCTGATCTACCTGGAATTGATTTTTGTACGTAGAGTACATAGGAATAGACTATTCCAATTAGATAATTATTTGATAAAGAACAAACATTTTCCTTCTGCTTGATTCTGACTTATTGGCAACCCCATGTGTTTCAAAGTAAAACTTCACTCTACAGGATTTTCAGTGGCTAATTTATGGGAAGTAGACTGCCAGACTTTTCTTCCAAGGTGCGTGTATCTTTCCTTCAACCTCCAGCCTTTTGCTTAATATCTGAGCACTTAATTGTTTACACAACCCAGAGACTCCAATTAGTTGATTCTGCCCCATATATTAAATTGTGAGTGCTTTCTACCACTGCCCAGCAGAGCTTACTGTGTCAAGTTTCTATAGATATTGGTGGACCTTTTCTGGGATGTTTATTTTTGTTGATCTATTATGTATTCTTATAATGATACCATTCTTTCTGATATAGCTCCATTTGTAAAATGAATATGTGAATACAATTGTATATATGATATACATGGACAAGCCCACGCCTTATTCTTTAGAATATCTTGGCTGTGTGTGGACGTTTACAATTACATATACATTTTTAAAGAATTTTTGTGAAGTTCAGAAAAATAAAATTGGTTGGAATTTTATGGAAGTTCATTGGAAATAATCTATTTGGGGAGAACAGTTGTCTAAGAGCGTGTACTATGTTTTCATTTATTTCATTCTATTTGTGTGTCATTTAGTACTGTTTTATAATTTTTTCGTTAGGATCTCTTAACTATACTCCTTTTTGATACATCTTACTCTTACTAAAAATATGATCTTTTTAAAATTAATTTCTCAACTGCCTGTTGCTAGGGTATATAAATGAAATATTTAAAATAATCCTTGATATTTATTTTGTAGTCTCAATACTGTCAGCACTGGAATCATCTGTACTATCCTTGGAAGTTCTACGTATCCAATTATTTAACGTGAAAATATAGATTGGGGTGTTTTTTTCTTTTTAACATTCTTACTTCTTTACCT